GGGCGGGACGGGGCTCGAGGCGGAAGGAGCAGCGGAGGGCCGAACGGGGGACGGGGTGGAGGGCGGGGAGAGATGAGCGTGAGGGGTGAGCGAAGCGGGACACGGGTGGCGGTCGGGGGGAGCGGTGGTGCGCATCAGGGAGGGCGAGGGGGCCGTGCCCCCGGACAGGGCGGCCCCGGCCGCCCTGCTGGTGCTCGCGGGGGGGGAAGGGGAGCGGGAGGGCGCGAGGGGGGCGTGGGGAGAGATGGTCGCGTCCAAGGAGAACCGGGACGGCCAAGAGGGGCGACGGTTCCCTTGCATCAGCCGGCGGCGACGGCGGCCCCCGTTTCCTCCCGAGGACGGCAACGGACCCCGACACCAATCGTTGATGTTTAGACTAGAATGCACATAAAGAGGCGTCAAATGACCTCCAGACGCCATTTCTTTTTCTTGCAAATATTCTGTACGTAGTGGAAGCTCGGAAGCGGTTTGTAGGCTAGTTAGAGGTGGTTCCACCACCGGAGGTCGGGGGGGGCGGTGGATATTACCTTGATTTTGCGGCGAAAGCGGGGATATGGTAGTTTTGTCCCCAGGTATGCATGATTTTTTTTTTTTCATAACAAGTTCCCTTGTTGTAGAACACACCTGGCCACCAAATGGTGTCTTGTGGGAGTGTAAAGCGAAGGAGAGACATTCGGAACAAATATTGGGGTTCCCGGGGAGAATTCGCCGCAACGGCCTGGGAAAGGTATGCCTGTAGTAACAGGCAAGACACCCTCTCCATAACGTTTTTCGCTCTAGTATTTTTTTGTAGAGTCGACATATGATCAGAATGGACCCATCATGCATGAAACTCGTAAATTTGGCTCTCCTCAAGTTCACAGCACCCGCTGTGCGGTCAAACAGGGTTATTTCAGCCCCGAGAAATATGGTGGAAACCCAGGGATGCGACGTTCGTGGCCCCTGGCTAGATCGATCCCATTTGTTTTTTTTCTACATAGACATGATCAAGCAGAGCGTGCACGAAAAAAATCAGGTCTTGGAACGCTTTAGATCTCGCGCAATCACCACATCTTCAAATTGTCTCTTAACGGGGGCGGGGGTGTTTTCCACCGTATTATCCCGGAAAAATTAGGGGTATTACAGGAGCCATATCTTCCCAGCACTTGCGATTTTTTTTTTGGGGAGGTAGCCTGTGATGTTAGCTATCGTACGATACCTCGACATCAATGATACTCGTCCTAATAGTCAAGAACGAGCTGTTTGAGCGGAGGGTGGTACATTTACTCTAGTATCCAACGCCACGAAAACACGAACCACGCCACCTCGTCGACACAATGAGCACTGCTGTCGTGGGAGTGGCATGCACATATGATAGCACACGGAAGTGGCGAAGTGGCCGAACAACCTACAACGTTCCTTTCCGCACAAAAAAACGCGAAAAACACTTGCCTTCTTGTGTTGGAGATTCTGAGCCTATGTACAGGAAATAAGAGGGGTGTGGCAAACGGGCTGAAGAGGGAACAAATTTGGTTTTCTGTTTTGCTATGCATAGACTGGATATCAAAGAGTGTAGGAGAGTACGCAGCGCGACATGTCCAAAAACACGAACCGGGCCACCGGACGCGCCCACAGCACAGACACAGCCAACTGCCAACACTGCTGTCACGGCCCTTAACTTAACATGTACGGACGCTACAGTCTGTTCATACCAACAACGCTGTTTCCGGAACAACAAACCATCAACACAATGGAACTTCAACTCATTTTCCTCTCTAAAACTTGCGATGCAGCAGTCAGTAGAAAAATCAACAAAGCGTTAGTTTCTCCTAAGCAGGATTACCTGTAGCAAGGGCGTACATTACGTTTTACGCATAGTTACCCGCTGCAAAGAAGACGGCCGGGGGCGCGGGGGAGGGCAAGGTAGGTCCACCGAAACAAAAAACAGCACTCGACCCTAAGCGACACACAGATTTCCTCTCCCCTGGCGCAAAATACACAAAACACAAACAGAACAGGAACGCTGAAGGCGTGTGGTACATCACTAAAAACCACAAAATAACCCGGTCTCGCGCTCGTTAGTCTTCGATCTGCCCTTCGCTCTCCGTCTTCCGTCTTTCTTTCTCCTTTCCGCGTCCCTCCCTACATGTTTTGTGCTGTTCTCTGTTTTCCTGTGTTGCGCCCTCTACCCCCCGTATCACTACATGCATTTCTGTGGCCGCTCGAGGTTGCGGGGCGGGCAAGACGCCGCGCCTTGCCACCAAGGCGATTCTGAATCAGGAAGTCATTCAACACAAGAGCACAACTTTCGCCCGGCGAAGTCACGCTGCTTCTTGTTTGCCTAGAAGTTCATGACGGCATGGGAGGCATGCATGGCTTGCGACCGGCGAATGAATGAGTTCAGGAGAAGAAGGTCCGAGCAACCTTGCAAGTGAGCTCGGCCATCCGCTTGGAGTATCCCCACTCGTTATCGTACCAGGCGTAGATCTTCCAGAATCGGCGAC